AAAATTGATATTAAAATAAAAAAGCAGTCTGGTGGGGATAGGTCTCTGCAGGAGCCAAGACACTCTGGGAAAATGCCCAAGCTCTCTCAGTAGTTCTTGAGTTTCATCCAAGCTCCTGGAGCAGGCTGGTGATATACAAGATGCACGGACTGGTTCCCATCTCAGTTCAGATGTCCCAGACAACAGCTACCCTGAACCCGTGTGATTTCTAGGCCTTGTCCTAAATAGATGCAAAGGAGCTGACTTGTGAAGGTTTTTAAATAATTCCGAAAAGAATTCAGTAAGTGATAAAGCATGGCATTTATATTTATATTTCAGTACAATACACTGAAGCTCAGTCCGTTGAAAATGCAAGAATTTTGGCTTTGTTCAAACATGCACATACATGCGTATGCAGCGTCTAGATTATCATCACATGTTGGACGGGCATGCCTAAGCCTTACTTCACGTTTTTGTGCCAGTCTTGTGAGTGGCAAAGTCAGCCCTAGCGTCTAATACTACCACTTCTTTTTTTATATGCGTATTTTATTCCTGGTGGGAAGGAAGCGAAACTAGAAGTTGCTTTTCTTCCCATTCTGTGCTTATTGCACGACTTTAACCTTTGCTCAGGACAGCGTTTTCATGGGTAGGAGGTTCAGCCATGACCGACACACGTTCCACCAGCAGAGTGCACACCAGGTAAACCTACCAGGTACTAGTGATCAATGAAAATGTTTGGCTGGATATTTTCACCTGTAAAAGTATATACACAACCCTGCTCAACGCTGTCGTGTGCCCTGCAGAGATGTCTCACAGGCGTAAGCACGCAGTGTACTGTTGCTCTCCCCCTCTTCTGCCAGCGCCCGGCAGCCCCAGGTAGGTCCTTCCGTAGGCTCCTCCTCAACCGCATATCTCCAACCTCCTCTGGCAGAACTAGTCCCACCTCGTGAGGTCCTGCGTGTTTTGCCTGCCTTTCTCAGTTCAGTCTTCATCACACAGGCTTTTTGAACACTAACTAGTCGAGAAACTTAAGTCTGTAGATAACATCTCGCTACACTAGCTGTCCTCCATGGTAAGTTCACATTTCTCAAAAAATACATTTTTTGCTCACTTCCTCTTCTCCACCCTCCTCTCTTCAACCCTGTTAATTATTTGTTTTACCCCTTTGTTTCATTACCATCATTAACTTCGGCTATCCTTCACAGATATGAGCAAAAAGCCTCCTTGAATGAGCTTTTGACAAGACCTTATGTTTTTGGATACCATTGCCCTCTCAGTCTTCCAAGGGCAGGGCTGTTGCTGATCGGGGGGTACACCACAGATATCACTATTTACTTTCCTAGAAAGACCCCCATTTTGGTGCAAATCTCTTCTCTGCATCTGGCTTTACTAGAACATTGCATTCCTCCATTTCTTTTGGTATCCATAGTCATTTATATTACCTTCCAAAAAGTAATTATTTGGAACCAGTTAAGCCTGTACATGAATTCTGCCTTTGTTTAAAACACATTGTACATATGTATATATTTAGACTGTCATTAAATATTTAAGAGGCTGTCTTCAAACTTCAGCAGCAGCACTGTTTGTTCGCTTAACCCTTTGTGAAACAGAAAGCTTGATGCTGAAATCCTACCGTGGAGGAATTCAGAAAGCCCAGCTGCCCTAGCGCTGGGTGACAAAGGCCAACTTTGACAGTCAAGGGCACCGTAAAGAAACTAGTTTTTCTTCGTTTTCCTTTATATGCTGTTTGCTAGTAGGCTAATCATGATAATGCAATTCATTTTAGTCTGCATCAGCTTTATCTGCTGAGATGCGTAACTGGGATGCAAATTAATGAGCTGTAACATACAGATGGATCTTTCAATACAATTCAGGGAGACAGAGTCAAATATGCACATGCCCATCCCTCCTTCCTCCAAATGAAATAAGGCGCTCTATGCATTGTCCACAGGTCAAGAAGTCACCTTTCTTGGCTTTTTCAATCTCCTAGAGAGGAAACAACACATCCTGCAGACAGGCGGACCTTTTTCGAACCCAACACCGAATGTTGCGCCATAGATGAAACCCCATCCCAACTATCTTGCAATGTGCACTGGCACCAAGCATAACTCAACATAACCCTACCACACTGTTAACATGAGATTATCATGTTTTAAAAATCTGGTCACTTAATTTACCCGGCTTGGCAAGGCCTCTACCTAGAGCCAATCATTCATATTTCACCCTGGCAAGGAGCAGTACCTCGGGGCCAGCTCTCCATGGCCAGGACACCCATGCTCCTATCCTTCACATGAAGTGAAATAGCGTAAGCGTCACAGCAGAGGATGGGAAAACTGGCACAGAAGAGCACGATATGCGACTTTCCCAACTCTATATGGATATGCAAACGTATGTATCTTGGAGAATGCGTTTTTCTTCTTTTTGATTAAAACCTTGAGGATGCATTGTTAAATCCAAGCCCAAAAAGCCCCACGAGAGCAGCTCTGCATGCAGTTTTCAAGGCCCAAAACTGCATTTAGAGACACCCCTTTGCCAAGCACTCCAGCCTCGTTCCTGATCGGATGCTGCTTTAGGTGGGGTGAACAGCCGAGTCCCTCCTACAGCTTTCACACCTGGGTTACACAGCCGCACAGAAGCAGTTCAACCGGCTGACCGCCGTTACACCACCCCGGGGATGTGACCTTGTTGGATGTTACAAAGGGAGCAGAGTGCCAGGCGCGGTCTGTACTTGCACAGGAGAGCCCGCGAACGCAGGCCACCGCAGGACGCAGTGCCGGGAGATCAGCAGATGGCATACTTTGCCGTGAATCGGCACCGAAGCAGGAGCGCGAAGGGGCAGCAGCACGCTCTGGCAGGTGCGCTCGCTCAGATAAGATGCCGGGTTCAAGAGCATTTGCAGTCGTTCACCAGAGCGAGCCTGTTCATCTCAGTGGCCCGACCACAGATTCAGCCTGCCTCAATTCTTGGAGTAATCTTATTTTCTTGTAATCATCTTTTTTTTACTTCCTGTCTTTAACAGCAGCATTGCGACGAATGTTGAAGTCTCCATACACCACCCCAGATACGGCCGCATTTTAGCGGCAAGTATGGTTTTTTGTATGAATAACACGGTGTATCAGTTGGGTTAATGCTTCCGTACCCCCTGAGGGTCGTTATGTACACCCCTTGCTACAAAATAAGCGTCAAATACACTTTAGGAGGGGCAGAACTTACGGGGAAAGGTCTATCTTTTACTAGACCAAATGGCATAGCTGTAAAAAAACTGAATATGGCCCTAATCATGCCAAACGATGGGCGGGTACGTTTGTTTTTATGACAACTCAACAGCACACATGCTGTAGAACACAGCAAATAACCAGGACTTTTCCTATCTGTAAATCAGCTCCAGTTGCTGAGATCTATGCCAAAAACCAGCACAGCCTGCAAGGCTACAGTTGTCAGGTCTCCCTTCTTCCCCCCCCAAAAAATATTGCCTAAAGGAGGTCACAAGCCAAAGGCACTCCCAGGTCACGACTAACATGAGCTTAGCTTAGCATCTCTACTGATCACTCGGTACTGCCGCTCGATTGCTTCCACGTGTGCATCATTTCACCACTCGCCCATCAGTTTTCTGGAAGTGAATGGGATTAAAAGCCCACCAAGTATTTGCACTGCTGTCTTCTCCCCCTCTGCGGCGGATTTACAGTAACTGGAGGGCGAGCAGAGTTCGCCCAGGCACACGCAGGCTTCCCGGCGTTGCGGTGCTGACCTTCCCCGTCTCTCCCAACCCCCTTGGCTAGTTTCGGTGGAGAAACAGGCAGCCAGCTGGAAATTTTGATCAGCATTAATGCCACTGTAGTTTCTTCCCGACTGCTCTCCAGGAGTATTTTTCCACCCACGTTCCTCTATGCATCGCAAACCCCTCCAGCTGTTGGCAGCTCTCAGTGCAGCTCCACCACACGCTACTAACCCAGTGCGGTACGTCTGGTCTGTTTTAATTCAGCGTCTGACTCCTGCTACACGGGAAACACGCTCATGCAAAAAACTTCATCTATAGACACCTACTCTGCAGCAAACATAGCGGTGGTCGGCATTTAAATGAACTAATCAGTTGCAAACGGCTTAGTCAGCATCGCAGTCCTGGAGGTAATTCCCAGGAAGCGATTTTCCCGGCAGCTATATATACAAACCTGAAAAGCAGACTGCAAGACAAGGGTAGCACCACAGCGACACAAAATTTGGCTACACAGTGACATTACCAGCAAATAAAAATAAAAATCGGGGAAAGCCAAGAAACCAAGCATTCACAGAAAACACACACTGTGCTCGCGCCGCCGGTGTATCCTCGTGTAAAAATCAGAAACTCAGACACAGGACATGAACACAGTCAGCGTTTCTTTTTCCTCCTTTCCTTACTGATGCTGTGCCGGTTTGAACCGAGAGGAAAAAGACGGCAAGGCAAGTTACTACCTCGTCTGTGGAGATACACAGACGCCGGGCAGCGCTTTTTGGAGCGAGCATCCCAGCAGTCACCCTCAGCATCTACCCCGCGGCGGGAGCCAAGCTCACCCGCGTGCTGAAGAGGGCCGAGGACTCGCACAAACTTTGTTTGGGGACAGGGAAGGCTCAGGGCATCTACCGGCAGAGGCACCGGGGGGATGCAGGGCAGCACCAGGTGCCAGAGCATCCTCCAGCAGTGTCTTCGCCGCCGGCTGCAAGCGCGAAGCCGAAGGGCTGCGGACGCAGGTCATCAGTCTGCGGGGCGAGCGATGCCACGGCTGCGGGATGCCGCGTCGCCCTTCAACACCTCCCCATCAGCTTCCCCAGCCAAGGCAGCGCCGGGCCAGCCGGCAGCCCGCGGGGGCCCGGGGCAGCGACCGACCCGCCCAAAGGAGAGACCACGACTTTCCTCCTCTGGCCACTGCCAGCACCTCGGTGCACATCTGCTCACATCTGCCCAGGGGCCAGGGCCGCCTGCGGAGCAGGGTACGCCGGCATGCCCCTGGGGACGCACGCACGGGGAAGGGACGCCACTCACTTACTTTTCATATTCGGCGTTGTCTCGATCGCAGCGTGAATCCTTGTGCTTTTGCCAGTCTTTGCCATGCTTGCAGGTGGTCAGGAGGACAACATCCTCTCCGTTATGGACGTGATATAAGGCATTC